TATTCTAAACCTCTTGTTTTGTCCACTATATTAAATTTGCTAAAACAAACCTAATAAAAAATCTCTACTGTAATAGGAGGAACAGGTCAAATAAGTTTAAACAATATCAAATATTTTTTAAAGTATACCTTTCCCCCCAAATTTCTCTAATTTCAAGTAACTATCTCATTATCATTTTTTAATCTAAACCCTATCATGACAAAATTATGTGTTTTTTCTGTACTGTGTATTTCTTTTGTTATTTACGTCTGTGATATATATTTGCGGGCATTTGGTCCGTATATGTATTAAGAACTGGCATTTTTATACTACTTTATATTTTCTAAAATTGCCCTGATCAAATATATGATATTTGTCCAATAACTGAGTACCAACATCAATTATAAAATTGAAATGACCACCATCTCATCTTAGGCGATAGGCCAGAAGTAGTGACTACATTGTCACTGAGTTTAAAGTGCTATTTGATTTCCTAAATCATCTTGTCTGAAAAGATTTTTCTAGTGGGCTTCAGTGACATGATATTCTTTATCTCTCAACTAAGTACATTTTTTTTCTTTCTCTTTCTCTCATTAAAAAAAAATCAACAGCTTGATCAAGTCATTCGCCAAAGAAGCCTGTCCAGTTTGGAACTGTTCCTCTCCTGTGCTCAGAAACAGTTAAGTGCTTTAATAGCTACGGAGCCAGTTGACATAGAGTGAAGAGAACATGGCAAGCTAACGTACACTGGCACTGAATAAATCCTTAGACCTCTAAAATACATGCTATGCATTATAAAGATGCTTTTGTTTTATTTCCAAACCTTGGAGAATTGATTTCCACTTCAAGGATAAACCAAAACAATATTTAGAACTATCAAGTGATCTAATTTATTTTCTTTTATTTTCCCCTTTACATTTACTAGTATTTTATTAGTAGTAGTAGTAACACAAAATGATATGTCCCAAAGCCATTGAATAGTGCCACATTATCAAGTTAAGTAAACTTTATAGCCTCTGGTGGCCTGTTATATTGTACTCATATGTGGTAAAAGGAGTAAAATATCTTTATTACTGCTTCATGATGATTCCTGATAAGATGCAAAATGTAATCATACTTTAATTTGATTTTGAAGATAAAAATAGCATGGATTTCAGTATCATCTATTATGTATGTAAAATGCTGATTTGATAGAGAATCATTCTATTACCAAACCTCTTTTCTGCAGGTGGATCTGTGTATTTTCATTGGTCTACTGAAAACAAACAATATAAATAAAAACACTAAAGATTATTAATTCAATTTTGATCTGATGTACCACTTAAAGGGGTGTGTGTGATATGTGCTTATTTCCTATTTCTGCTCTTCAAAGGCACTATGAATCAATAAATTCATTTTTCTTATGAATTGAACCGTGAACTTAATCTCTAGACAGAGAATAAAACTTGGCCATTTATAGGAATTTAGGTTCAAATATAAGATATATGTAATCTTTTCCTTGTACTTCAGAATGTACCTTATTGATGAACAGTGTGCTTCGATGCAAAATCATGAGTATTTTTAACCTCAAAACTAAAATGTCCTTAAAATATATGTATGCAAACGCTTTGTCTTATTTTCTGAAATGCTTCTACTTTCATGGGCTTTGTACTTTTCTGGGATTTCTCAGTGTAATAAAAAGAGCTTAAAAACTTATTTGGTTACTATTATTTTAATTCCTGTTTTTAAATTCTTTTTTAATACTTTTTAAAAACATTTTCTTGCTCAAATCTCTATGTCCATGTATGATGATGTTTTATATAAACCTCCCCTTAAAAAATTACAATAATATTTATCAAGAATCTTTAAGCATTAATAACTACTCCATTTAGAAATATAAATAAAAAATTGAAGCAAGCAGACCGTTGACTTGAAATGCAGCATAATAAAAAAGAGAGAAGATCTTTTAATTCAGGAACAAGCCAATAACACAATGTTATTTTCATTATTTAAAATCACTTGACTCTCTTTGTCATCAAATTAAATGATTAGATACTTTTACAAGTTACTGAGATATTACTTACATAATATAAAGCATGGAAGTTCACTGAAGCTAAGATCCAGAGTCAGTGGAAATGTCAAGAGAATATAATGCCTTACACCTCTCCATTCCTGACCACCACAGAATGTTTTTTTCTTTTTCCATTCGGAGTTTCAACTTTACTGTTGACATAGACTAATTGTTATCTGAAGTAATTTAGAATAAATTGATACATATCAGTCTATGAATATTTGCAGAACACCCACCATGTACAATACCGTACTATTTTACTTTATTTTATTTTATTTTTTAATTTTTATTTTGTCGATATACAATGTGGTTGATTATTGTGGCCCATTGCCGAAACCTCCCTCCCTCCTCCCTCTCCTCCCTCCCACC